AGTGCTGAAGTGTTGGAGTTCCGAAGTTGCCGAAGTTCCGAAGTGTCGAAGTGCCGAAGTGACGAAGCACAGTATTGCCTAAGAACTAATATACTTACCCAGTGGAAGAATGAAGAATGTTACACTGTATACAATTTTAAATAAAAAGTATACAAACATAGCCAGGATTTAGCTGTAAGCATTTGCAACATTTACAACAATCAAGTAACATACATTCATATAAAATGTAAGTTACTTAGCCAGTCAGTGTAATGATAGGAATGAATAAGTAGATAACTCCCTAATTCCCACGGTATTAGGGAGCTACCTTCTAAAAGGCTGAAAGACCTAAATTGGTCTTTCAGCCAAATTTACTAATACTAAGTAAAGATTACTTAGTATTAGTAAATTATGCCCCTACTCGCTATACTGTGAGTAGGGGCATGTCTATTAAACAGTGAGCAGAGGGTGGGGGCCCTAAATACTTATAAGGGGGGGGAACCTAATGTCCTCCTCCCTGGCCCCCACCCCTGAGCGGCAGGTGGGGGCCCTAAATACCAATGGGGGGACTTATTTTCCTCCCCCCGGCCACCACCCCTGAGCGGTGGGTGGGGGCCCAAAATAAAAATGTTACCCCCCTCCAGGTGACTAGGGGTCCCCAAACTCCTAGTCACCCCATCCCCCCCCCCCAAAAAAATTAACCGCTCAGGGGTGGGGGCCAGGGGGAGGACAATAGGTCCCCCCATCATTTTACTTTAGGGCCCCCAGCCACCGCTCAGGGGTGGGGGCTGGGGGGGCAGCCCTAATCACACCTCCCCTGGCTATGACTCACACAGTCTGCATTTAAAAATGGTTTCATTTTCAATCAGATGTTAACTTGCTTCAGACATTTTTTTATCTCTTGCTAAGTAAATAGAACTTTAATTAATAATACACTTGAAGCATTCGCCATGGTCTAGCAAGCTATTAACAAAGGAGGATATAAGAAATTCTAAATTAAACAAAATGTACACTAAATGGAGTTTAGACCTCTCTTTACAGGAAGTGTTTAGGAAGGCTTTGTAAGTCACGTGCAGACAGGTGTGACTAGGGATGTATAAACAAACTGATTTAACTCCTAAATGGGAGTGAACTGAGATGTGAGACTACAGAGACATGATCCATAAACAAAACTGCTTCATTAAGCTAAAGTTGCTTTAGTGACTACAGTGTCCTTTTAATAAACACATTAAACCTGCATTACCTGCCTATTTTTCTTGGAGGGGTTGTCTTAGAATTCTGTACACAGAATGTAAATCAGCCCTGTTTGCTATTTTGTAAGACTCCCACACAAAAATAGGTGCTGCCAAGATCAATACCAACTGCTGATTTCCAGTTCTACCATGGTTTTTAGTGTGCTGGGTTGCTCATGCAATCAATGACTTGCTCGCAATTTCTGAGATGACCTAGTTGTTGGGAATGAGCATCTCTTTTTTTTTAATCGAATACAGCTGATGAGTCCTAGAATTAGAACCAGGGGCATATTTAAGTGTTGTGCTTTACAAATATGTACCTCTAAACCCTACCAATCTCATGTCATGGTAAATGAAGAAGCCCAAATCCCACGTGGAAAAAAAAGAAGTAATATCTCAGGCAGGCCATACGACTATCAAAAACTTGATTCCTTAAAAATATGGTAGAGTTACAGAGGGAGCAGCGTCAAATAGAGACAAGAGTTTAAAAAGGCCTTGCTCAAATCAGTTTACAGTCTATGAAATGAGCTTAAAGGATCACTAAATGCCTCCAGTGTCGCAGATGCGCCTCTAGTGGCTGTCCAGAAGACAGCCACCAGAGGCTGGCTTAACCCCTTAAGGACGGAGCCAAATGTACACGTTGTGAACAAAACAAAATGTAAACAAAACCTGGCATTTGCGCTACATGTCTGTCCAACCGTAATTCACCTCTTTCATAGTAAATGCACCCACACTTATTATATATCATTTTATTCAGGGTAAACAGGGCTTTCATTTAATATCAAATATTTAGCTATGAAACATAATTTAATATGAAAATAATTGGAGAAAATAAGATTTTTTAAAAATTTTTTAGTTCTACATGACATTTTAACTGTCACTGTCATAATACTGTTTGCTTTTACTGCAATAAAATACACATATTTGTATTCAGCAAAGTCTCACGTGTAAAACAGTACCCCCTATGTACAGGTTTTATGGCATTTGGGAAGTTACAGGGTCAAATATAGCACGTTACATTTGAAATTGAAATTCGCCAGATTGGTTACGTTGCCTTTGGGACTTTATAGTAGCCCAGGAATGAAATTTGCACCCATAATGGCATACCATTTGCAATAGTAGACAACCCAAGGTATTGCAAATGGGGTATGTGCAGTCTTTTTTAGTAGCCATTTGGTCACAAACACTGGCCAAAGTTAGCGTTAGTATTTGTTTGTGTGTGAAAAATGCAAAAAAACGCCAATTTTGGCCAGTGTTTGTGACTAAGTGGCTACTACAAAAGACTGGACATACCCTGTTTGCAATACCTTGGGTTGTCTACTATTGCAAATGGTATGCCATCATAGGGGTAATTTTTATTCTTGGGCTACCATAGTGTCTCAAAGGCAACGTAACCAATCTGGCGAATTTTAATGTGAAAAAAATGAAACGCAAGCCTTATATTTGACGCTGTGACTTTTGAAAAAACCATAAAACCTGTACATGAGGGGTACTGTTGTACTCGGGAGACTTCGCTGAACACAAATATTTGTGTATTTGTGTTTCAAAACAGTAAAAAGTATCACAGCAATAATATTGTCCGTGTAATGCCGTTTGTGCGTGAAAAATGCAAAAAAGTCACTTTTACTAGCGATATCATCGTTGTAATACATTTTACTGTTTTGAAACACTAATATTTGTGTTCAGCGAAGTCTCCCGAGTAGAACAGTACCCCCCATGTACAGGTTTTATGGTGTCTCGGAAAGTTATAGGGTTAAATATAGTGCTAGCAAATTAAATTCCCTTTACTTTCGGCATGGGTTGTCAGGCAGGTCCTGCTAATTGTAATTAATTATGATACCTAATTATGTAAAAATATTACATAAATATATATGTAGAATTAATATATGTATATATATACGTATGTGTATATATATGTATATATCTATATAATTTTTTTTAAATATTTTTATCTATATATAGGTATATATATATAGTGATATATACGTATATATTTATGTATATAGATATATATATTATTTCGTTCTACATGTATTTTGATATATATATATATATATATATATATATATTAATTTCACAAAACAGTTAGAACGAAATAACACACATCTATATATTTTTAATTATTTATTTTTAATTATTTTTTTAATTTTATTTTTTAACGTATTTACATTTTTATTTTTTTATATTATATATAAATATATATATAACAATTATATATATATTTAATCAGTATCAGTCTACGTGTAATTTGATATTAATATATATATATATATATAATTATATATATATTAATAGTAAAATACACCTAGACGGTGTACATGTGTGTATGTATATGTGTATATATATATACTTAGATCATATATATATATGATCTAAGTATATATTATTATTTTTTTGCACTATTTATTTATTTTAATTTTATTTTCAGCCAGCAGCAGGGGGACCACCTGTCATTACAGGAAGCCCCCCTGCTGGCAATACAGCAGCCAGCTATCCCCGGCCATGTGATTGTGGGGTCCTCGCAAGGACCCCACTCTCACACGGCCGGGGGGCTTCGTGGAGGACGGACGTGCCGCGGGGGGCTCCCTGGGCTCACCGGGTAAGTACCGTAAGACCGGAGGGCGTACTATTACGCCCGGCGGCGTTTAGAGCCGCCTATAATAGGGTGTAATAGTACGCCCTCCGGTCTGAAGGGGTTAAACCCAAATGTAAACTTAGCAGTTTCTCTGAAACTGCTATGTTTACATCAGGCAGGGTTAACCCTAGAGGGACCTGGCACCCAGACCACTTCACTGAGCTGAAGTGGTCTGGGTGACTATAGTGTGCCTTTAATATCTAACAGTGCTTGATTTTTATGAAAACACAAATATTAAATATTTGGAGAACAAAGGGATCAAAACATATATGTTTAAAAATTTTATCCTACAAAATTAGCTGCTGCCTTAATTTCCGCTGCCACAGGCACAGGACTAATTGACTTGGGCCAAGATATGCCTCTTGCTAGGACAAACTCACAACTTATACTCATTCAGTCCACTCATTCTCATCATCTTGCCATTATCACCACTAAATACAGAGGTTTTGTTTTTAAATGTATCTTAAATAGTGATGTCCCGAACGGTTTGCCGAACGGTTCGCCGAACGGTTTGCCGAACGGTTCGCCGAACGGTTTGCCACGGACGCGAACATATGACCCTGTACCTCACAGTCAGCAGACACATTCCAGCCAATCAGCAGCAGACCCTCCCTCCCAGACCCTCCCGCCTCCTGGACAGCATCCATTGTGAAGCTGCATTCTTAGTGAGCTGTGCAGGAGGTGGGAGGGTCTGGGAGGGAGGGTCTGCTGCTGATTGTCTGGAATGTGTCTGCTGACTGTGAGGTACAGGGTCATATGTTCGCCATCCGCGGCGAACCGTTCGGCGAACCATTCTGGACATCACTAATCTTAAACAATACAGTACAACTAAAATTTTTGTTCATGCATTCCACATGCCAGTAGAAGAAGCCTAAAGAACATTTGCTTGACCATGCTGTTCATTATTTTCAAAATTAATTAATTACCAGGAGCCGCGCGGGAGGAAAGAGAGGAACTCTGACTCCCATCAGGCTGAGCCACCACTGGACCTCAGGGTAGTCACCCTCCTGCATCTAAAAGGTAGGAAACAGGAGGGTGACGTCTCTGCTGAAACTTGTTTACTTTAGAAAAAAGTAAACTCGAAGGCAATAGGATAACATTATACATATATATTTGGGGCCAGTATAAACAGTAATCTGTTCATTAAAGGACCACTATAAGCACCCAGACCACTTCAGCTTAATGAAGTGGTCTGGGTGCCAGGTCCAGATAGGATTAACCCTTTTTTTTATAAACATAGCAGTTTCAGAGAAACTGCTTTGTTTACACTGAGGGTTAATTCAGCCTCTAAAGCCTCTAGTGGCTGTCTCATTGACAGCCGCTAGAGGCGCTTGCTTGCTTCTCACTGTGAAAATCACAGTGAGAAGATGCCAGCGTCCATAGGAAAGCATTATGAATGCTTTCCTATGAGACTGGCTGAATGCGCGCGCGGCTCCTGCTGCGCATGCGCATTCAGCCGAAGACGTCGCTAGGAAGAAGAAGAGGAGGAGGAAAGCTCCCCGCCCGGCGCTGGAGAAAGGTAAGATTTTAACCCCTTCCTCTCCCCAGAGCTCGGCGGGATGGGGACCCTGAGGGTGGGGGCACCCTCAGGGCACTATAGTGCAGGAAAACGAGTATGTTTTCCTGGCACTATAGTGGTCCTTTAATAGGACTGTACAGAGGACAAGACGTCATTCACTAAGGGTTAAAGAGACAAGATTTCACTAGCAGAAGTGAAAAAAAAATATTTTTACAGTAAGAACAATAAGATGTAGAATTATCTTCTTAAACACATTGTTTTACCAGTTTCTGTACAGTGAGGGAAAAACGTATTTGATCCCCTGCTGATTTTGAAAGTTTGTCACTGACAAAGAAAGGATGAGTCTATAATTTTAATGGTAGGTGTATTTTAACAGTGAGAGACAGAATAACAAAAAGAAAATCCAGAAAAAAGCATGTCAAAAAAGTTATAAATTGGTTTGCATGTCAATGAGTGAAATAAGTATTTGATCCCCTATCAATTAACAAGATTTCTGGCTCCCAGGTGTCTTTTATACAGGTAACAAACTGAGATTAGGAGCACTCTCGTAAAGGTGCTCCTAATCTCAGCTTGTTACCTGTATAAACGACACCTGTCCACAGAGGCAATCAATCAAATTCCAAAATCCCCAACATGGCCAAGACCAAAGAGCTGTATAAGGATGTCAAGGACAAGATTGTAGACCTACACAAGGCTGGAATGGGCTACAAAACCATCGCCGAGCAGCTTGGTGAGAAGGTGACAACAGTTGGTGCGATTATTCACAAATGGGAGAAACACAAAATAACCATCAGTCTCCCTCGGTCTGGTGCTCCATGCAAGTTCTTACCTTGTGGAGTTTCAATGATCATGAGAATGGTAAGGAATCCGCCCAGAACTACACGGGAGGATCTTGTTAATGATCTCAAGGCAGCTAGGACCATAGTCACCAAGAAAACAATTGGAAACACACCAAGTCATGAAGGACTGAAATCCTGCAGCGCCCGCAAGGTCCCCCTGTTTAAGAAAGCACATGTACAGGCCCATTTGAAGTTTGCCCATGAACATCTGAATGATTCAGAGGAGAACTGGGAGAATGTGTTGTGGTCAGGTGAAACCAAAATCGAGCTCTTTGGCATCAACTCAACTCGCCATGTTTGGAGGAGGAGGAATGCTGCCTAAGACCCCAAGAACACCATCCCCACTATCAAACATGGAGGTGGAAAAAGCAGGGGTGTTTTTCTGCTAAGGGGACAGGGCAACTTCACCGCATCAAAGTGACAATGGACGGGGCCATGCACCATCAAATCTTGGGTGAGAGCCTCCTTCCCTCAACCAGGGCATTGAAAATGGGTCGTGGATGGGTACAATGACCCAAAACACACAGCCAAGGCAACAAAGGAGTGGCTTAAGAATAAACACATTAAGGTCCTGGAGTGGCCTAGCCAGTCTCCAGATCTTAATCCCATAGAAAATCTGTGGAGGGAGCTGAAGGTTCGAGTTGCCAAATGTCAGCCTCGAAGCCTTAATGACATGGAGACGATCTGCAAAGAGGAGTGGGACAAAATCCCTCCTGAGATGTGTGCAAACCTGGTGGCCAACTACAAGAAACATCTGACCTCTGTGATTGCCAACAAGGGTTTTGCCACCAAGTACTAAGTTGAATGGGTCAAATACTTATTTCACTCATTGACATGCAAATCAATGTATAACTTTTTTGACATGCGTTTTTCTGGATTTTTTTTTTTTGTTATTCTGTCTCTCACTGTTAAAATACACCTACCAATAAAATTATAGACTGATCATTTCTTTATCAGTGGGCAAACGTTCAAAATCATCCAGGGATCAAATACTTTTTATCCTTACTGTACATACTGACACAATTCACAGTTCTATTTTACATTACTATTTGTTTTCTTCTCTGCTAAATCACATAGATTGTGCTCCTGCTGTCTTTTCTCCCTTACTATATCAAAAGTGCAGTATTCAAGACATTTCATGATATATCCATACCTTTCCATTGTTGTCTACACTATTGTGAATTGTCTAAACAATCTAGTTTTAATGCTTTGCACTACAAAAATAAAGAGGGTAAAAAATCAATGCAAATCAATATATAACGTTTTTGACAAATGCGTTTTTATAGATTTTTTTTTTGGGTTGTTCTGTATCTCACTGTTAAAATACAACTACCATTAAAATTATAGACTGATCATTTCTTTGTCCGTGGGCAAACATTCAAAATCAAGAGGGGATCAAATAAAATCAAAACCAATTTTATTTTTTTGAAAACCACAATAATCACGGATGTAATTATTATAATTTGCCATAAGAGCTTGTTGATCCAAAGGGAAATCCTACTACCATTTTGTCAAAATGTTTTTTTGTCTGGTTTTTGGCACTTGAGATTGGGATTGTTTGCCTTTTTTTGTATCAACAGCATTAATACAGTTTTGTGAAAGACTGAAAGTGATGGACTCACGAACTTTGCAATACGTTAATGTTGGCATTCTTCAAAAAATAATGCAAAGGTCTCCAAGTCAATCCGGTTGCTCTGATATCGTCTTCTCACTGAATGAATTATCCATGCAAGTACAATTTCCCCAGGGCATGCATTGTTTTACTGCACGTGTGTGCCCATTCATTGAGAGTATATATCACTAAACTTCCTTTGGAATCTTTGTGACAGTTTTTCTTCAGCGCCAAACTAATGTGAGCACCATTCACTTTAATTTATAGGCTAGTCTTCCACATCACTGAAAGTGTCAGCGTCAGATAAAGTATTGTGTTTGACACAAAAAATCAGGATTGCAAATTCAAATGACATTGCCTTTCATGCAACCAGGAAAACATGTTTTACCTGTACTGTCCCTTAAAAGATATCCATAATTGAGGTGCAACTCAAGCATTGAAATCAGCTGTGACATGCATGTATAAATAATGTTATCACATCAATGAACTATATGAACAACTCACCTGTCATCTATATGACTCTGTGATTCCCAAGTGTTGTTATGATTTATAAAGCACACATAACCCACAACAGTGCACAAGAGCCAAACAAAACATATCTGGGAGGAAGTCATACATGTATGGGTATTACAGAAGAGGATCTTCGAGGGTTTCAAGCCTTCTAGGATTGGGAGGAAAAACCAATAGACCTATGACATCTTTTTCAGGGTTACATTAACCTTTTCAAAAAGTCAAGTTAAGCCATTCAGAAATCTCTGCTTTTACTGTTGATGCAAAAGTGGCAAAACAAAACAGAAAAAACAAAAAAAATGAGACAATTTCCAATTGTGCCACAAAATGGGAAAAATTGCTTCTTCATTTTAAAGTCGCAGATGAGACAATCTAAGAGGGACATAATGAACATGATAGTGCAAAGGTACTGCCTAGAGAAGAATGTATGTTTACCCTCCTTAATCCAAGTATACAAAGAAAATATATATATTTTTTAAATCGAGGATATGTAAAAAAATAAATAAGAAAAACTCATTATATAACCTGAAACCACAAAATGTATATGACAAAAAAAACAAACAAACAAAAAAAGTATATGACAGGATCATTCCGCCATATACATGCATTTTGGGTCAGACAGTGTTTGAAACCCTATTCTGTCTGATGATATCAGAGCAGGAAGTAAAGCAAGGAAGACCATAGAGACTGACCCAAGGTGTATGCCTGAAGGATCCTATCATACACTATGATATGGATGGGTTTTTCTCTTTTTTTTCTTCATATAATTAAAGTAAAAAATTAGCAATTTCCTTTCAAAACTTGATGAAAGGATCATTATATTAAAAAATAGTGTTAAGGTGACAGTTGCCCTTTAGGATTCAGTAGTTTTGGTGCTTAATGTGTAACTTTACAGTTACCAGGATTTTTTGTGACAGATAAAAGTTACAATAAATCTCATTGAATGGACAAAAATGAAATGGTTAAGAGGATACATTTGTTGCCAATATAAATGAGTATTCTTAAAACTATAATCAACATCAGCCATAAATTGGTCAATTTGAATTTTGCCATGAACAAACAAACATCCAGACCTTTTTAACCCCTTAAGGACACATGACATGAGTGACATGTCATGATTCCCTTTTATTCCAGAAGTTTGGTCCTTAAGGGGTTAAATAGCTTTAGAATCTGATAACACAATCTCTTTAGATAGAGATTTTCACATCCTTATTGTTCTTACTGTAAAGAACCCTTTTCTCTGCTGTAAGCGAAAAAGCCTTTCTTCCAGTCTCAATGGGGACCCTTTTGTTTGTTGTATATTTCTGCTGATGAACAGGTTAGCACATAGCAATGCCAGCAGGGGGAGTGCCTGAAATGACAGGTACTCCCCTTGCTGCCTCTAAATAGTAATAAATGTTGAAGTTACAGTTTAAAATGAAATATATACTTAGATCATATATATATATATATATATATATATATATATATTTATTATATATATGATCAAAGTATATATATATATATTGTGATAAAGTGAAGGCAGATAGGCCTTTTAACCCCAGGGGAAGTACGTGTAGTTTCTGTGTTGCACAACACAAAGCTTTGCTTAGTTATGGGCCCCTGGGGTGGAGCATTTGGAGAGAAGGGTGGGCCAATGCTCCACTCCACAGTTTAGTGGTTTTCTGGGGAGACATGGATCCAGGCCAGGGTTTTTTGGATCGTCTCCAACCCACTGCTCAGCTGCAGTTAATGAGCTGTTGCAGTGGGAATAAACTCCTCCCTGCTAGGCAGGTAAAGGAGAGGGATTGCTGGCTTCCTCCCAGGAAGCAGGTAGGAGAGAGAGGCTGTTCTCTCCAGATAGAGTCAAGGAGACTAGGCACTTGGAGTGCAGAAAGGAAGCAGTCAGGGCAAGGCTGGCTTGGAGCACTGGGAGTGCAGAAAGGAAAGCAGTCAGGGCAAGGCTGGCTTGGAGCACTGGGAGTGCAGAAAGGAAAGCAGTCAGGGCAAGGCTGGCTTGGAGCACTGGGAGTGCAGAAAGG